TTTTAGTCTTTTCTGGTGAGAGTGGACTCCAAGATTGTTTTCTTGAGAGAACCTTGCAGGGCAGTAGGGAGGCAGTGGTCACGTTGCTACAGGAGCACACCTTCTCCCAGTTATTCAGGCAAACGCTACTCTAGGAGGAGCTGAAAAGGGGTTTTTACACATGTGGTTAAAGTCTCTAATCAGTTGATTTAATGGTAAGCAAAAAAGAGATTGTTGTGGGTGAGCCTGACCTGGGGACTTCCCTGAGGAGAGACTCAACAGCAGCAGCCATCGCACTCACTTTTTGGTCTATTTTCTTTGGATTGCCAAGTGCAGATAAGCTGCAGCTCGAGACTGGAGAGGTCCAGTCTGCCATAGACCTTCACTGCCTACCTGCCTGATCTAGACTCTGGCCTTGCTTAGCCAGTCCCCATAATTGCATTGGTCAGTTCCTCATAATAAATCTGTTAATATTAACTGTGCCTCCTACGGGTTCCCCTTCTCTAGTTGAACCTTGATTGAATGATGGATTTAATAAATTAACTGAGTATGAAAACTTCATTGTTATGGCTTCATATACCACAGAGCAACTAGCTCTTAGAAACCTCCACATGTCAAGCTTTGAAGTGGTATCAAAGAATATTGCAATTATGTGGTAAAGGTTATTAGAAATACTTCTTCCTTTCTGAACCCCATGAATATTTCTAACATGGTAAATACTGATAGAATGATTACATAAATAAAAGCTCTTTGAGGGTGTCATTTTTTTAAGGTATGGGATCAAAAATTTTGAGAGCTATATACTTAAGAATGGTGTAGCTGACCATAGGATATAACTTGATGTTTAAGAAAAAAGTAAGCCGGGTATGGTGATGTACCCCTGTAATCCCAGCAGCTCAGAGGCTGAGGCAGGAGGATTGAGAGTTCAAAGCCAACCTTAGCAAAAGCGAGGCTCTCAGCAAAAGCAAGGCGCTAAGCAACTCAGTGAGACTCTGTCACTAAATAAAATACAAAATAGGGCTGGGATGTGTCTCCAGTGGTCAAGTGCCCCTGAGTTCAATTCCTGGGAAACCCCTCTCCCCCTTAAAAAAGAGAAAAATAAACATAACCACCAGCCATGAATAAGAATTTCTCTTGTTCTGCAACCTTATCAAATCTTGGTGTGGTTGGTTTATTTTATTATTATTATTATTGTTATTTATTTTGCCAGTGGAATGTAATGGTATCTTCTGGTGCATTACTCTGCACTTCTCGGAGGAGGCTGGATACTTTTCTATATGTTTTTTGGGTCAACTTAGTATCTCATTGAAGTACCTGCTTGTCAAGTCTTTTTCTCACTTTTCTATTGTGCTGTCATTAGTTTTGATTTATAGAATTGCTTTATACATTTGGAATATGGGTCCTTTATTATGTATTTTAAATACATAAATAAATTTTCTTCTACACTTTTTCCTCTATTTTTTTTTACACCAAATATATTTAAAATAAAAAATAGTTGACTCTGTCAATCTTTGCTTTATCTTTGGTATTTTTTTGTGCCTTGTATAAAGACTTTATTTTCTACTCCTAGATTTTGAAGACATTGTGTGTGTGTGTGTGTGTGTGTGTGTGTGTGTTGAGTTGAGGTCTTGGTGACCTGGACTGGTCTCCAACTCCTGAGATCCATTGGTCCTCTGTCTCAGCATTTCAAGTAGCTGGGACTGTAGGCACGTGCCACTACACCCAGCTGATCCTATAGTATCTATTTTATTGTTTATGAAATATTGATTTTGATTAATTTTGTCAAATATTGATTTTATCATTTATTAGGATTAACTTTGACTTGGATTTTTGTATGAAGAAGGGATCTGTTTATTTCCGCCTGTGGATACTCAGCATTCCGAACAGCACCACTTAAAAAGAGTGTTCTTTGCCCTCTGACATGTATGGGTGGGTCTGTTTCTGGATCACTCTGTCTGGATCTGTTCTCTTCCTTCATCAGTGTACTTGTCCAACTCACTGTCTTAATCTCTTAATCTTAGTAATGGACCTTGAATTCTGCTCTGCTCTTTTGTTCTTCAAAGAGTGCCTTGGGCATTCTTGGTCATCTTCTTTTCCATGTAACTTTTAGATTCAGTTTATCAAGTCACTCGATTTTTGTCATTCAGCTTGTCAAAAGAAAATTGCATATATCTACATGACTTCTATTCAGATGGTTATGAATACATAGATGATCAACTGGGGAAGATTGACACCTTTGTACTATTGAGGCCTTCAACCCAGGAGCATGAGATTACTTTCCACATACAATTAAGTTGTCATTAACTTGATATTTCCCTTAGGGTTCTTATACTTATTTTGTTAGATTTTTCTCCCTGTCCTAATATTCCCAACTGTTTATTTCTATTGTAAATTGTGTTTTTATTTTTTTTAAACTGCTGCCATTATATTGGAATACAATTTGACATCTGGCCACCTTGTTTAAACAAATATTTGCTAAAGGTTATCTGTCAGCTTTTCTGGATTTTCTTTATATTTAACCATGTCTTCTATGTGTCATACTCCAATGGCAGTTTTATTTCATCCTCCTCAAAACTTTTAAAATTTCCTTCTTCTTGCCTTATTTTACTGGTTGTACAATATTCTATTAAAGTGGTTGCAGCAAGCAGTTATGGGTTTACTAAATTTGAAAGGAAAGCTTTAGCATTTTACCGTTTATAGTGTTTGCTGGAAGTTCATTATAGATATACTTTGTCACAAAGTTCTTGTTTATTTTCTCATCCAGGAAACTTGAAAATCGTAAATGACTATTCAATTTTATTAGATTCATTTACTACATTTAATGTTAGTCATATAGTTTTTTTTGTATATAAGCTAATAATATAATGAATCACATTAAGTAATTTTCTTATGTTAAATTAACCTCTATTCCTGGAATAAACCCACATAGTCATGTTGTACTATTTTTTTTGTATATTTTGTATCTATATTATTCAATAAGATGATCATAATATTTACATATATTTGAAACCATCTCATTAAGTGTATTCAATTTTTAGAATACTAAAAAAATTTTCAATGTGATATTTTAATATGTATACATTATAGAATGATTAAATTGAGTTAATTAACATATCCCCATCACTTCACATGTTTATCTGTTTTATGGTGCAAATACTTGAAAATTACCATCAACAAATTTGAAATATACAATATATTATTTTTATTAACTGTAGCTACAAGCTGTGCAGCAAATCTCAAAACATATGCCTTCTAACTGAAATTTTCATCCTTTGCCCAATATCTGCCAATCCCCCCTCTGTGGTAACCACAGTTCCATAGTTCTAATATTTACATTTATGAGTTTGCCTTTTCTAGATTTTACATAAATGAGATAACAGAATCTTTCTGTGCTTGGCTTGTTTTGCTTAGCATAATGTCCTCCAGATTCATCCACATTGACAAAATGGCAGAATTCCCTTCCCCTTAAAGCCCAGTAGTCTTCCATTGTGCCTACAAATCACATTTTCTTTGTTCATTCATCTGTTGGTGGACACTTAGGTTGGTTCTGTGTTATGGTATTTTAAATAGTGCTTCCATGAACATGGGAATGCAGATACGTCTTTAACGTGTTTATTTGAATTCCTCTGGATATATAGACTGTAGGTAGTTCTATATTTGTTTTTTTGAGGAATATCTCTAGTGTTTTCCACAATGGCAACATAATTTATATTCCTATCAACAATGTACAAGAGTTTCCTTTCTCTAAATTCTTGGCGCAGGTACTTGTTATCTTCTTTGTCTTTTGATTATAGCCTTTTTAGGTGTGTACAATTTAAAAATTGTGAAGTAAAGGGAAACTCAGGAAGTTACCTCTGTCCTTAGTAAAGCCTCTTGCCTTAAAGTCTGGTTTCTTTTATATTCAGTAACATGACCTCATCAGGCTTTATTTTAGAAAGGATTTGCATGATAAGCTTTTTTTTGTTTGTTTCAGAACTTATCTGCTGAGTCTAGTCTGAAAACTTACCTTTTAACTGAAGCTTTAGTCCTATTATATTTTAGAAATTAATAATAGGTTGTACTTAAAAGCAGTGTCAAAAGTCATGCTTTTAAATTGAGTTGCCTTTTTTTCTTATTAAGAGTTTGGGCTACACATCTCTAAAGGCCCTACTTTTCATTTTCCATTGATTTTTCTTTTTTCTTTCTAGTAACAGGTACCTTGTTTTTTTAAAGTCTGGGTATTTTCTGGTTATAGTTTTGGCATTGATTTCTGGCCTATCTTGTGTTTGAAAAACATGTGAAACAAACATGTTTTCTGCAGGTGGTACTGTAGGGTCCTGATGTACATTAGGATTAGGTGAGTTTGTTTTCCTTGTTCAGATCTTCCATATCTTTATTGAGCTTTTATCTGTTTGTTCTAATGATTACATAGAGAGCTTCTGTTAAATTTCCCTCTAAAATTATTGATCTGTCGTTTTCCTCTGTATTTATCAGTGTATGTATATATTTCAAAATCCTCTCATATCTCTGCTTAGTTGTTGGGCTGGGCGAGCTGGGGAAGCCTTAACATAGCAGAGCTTCCTGGTTTCTGTGATTTGGGGAACTGAACCAGCTCTAGTCACATAGATGATCTACAATTTGGACTTCAAATGAACCAGTTTAGATGAAAGGACACGTGGATACATTTGAGAAGGCTGAGTAGCTTAGAGCCTGTGGTTTCTCTCAATCTTCGTGGTCCAGACAGTTAATCTTGTTCTGTGATTGACAACACTGTCTGCCCACTGTGTGCCATTTAGTAATATAACCCCTGCTAGGGCAACAGCAATCCGAATTCCCACCTTATTCTGTTAATAAAAGGACTTCCTTTTTTTCCCAGTCATTGTACCCAATGCTGTTGACTCCTATCTTTCCTAGATGTAATCCTCTCAAGTAGAGGCCAATGTCAACAGCTTTACTTGGTGAATGATAGAATGATTCCTTTTGAACACAGGAATGATTTTCATTCAGAAAACTTATAAGTTATATTTCTCTTTTATCCTCAGTTATTTGAAGGTTTAAAGGCATTTCGAGGAGTAGATAATAAAATTCGACTGTTTCGGCCAGAACTCAACATGGAGAGAATGTGTAAGTCTGCTGTGAGAGCCACTTTGCCGGTACGTAAATTTAGAAGTGTTTTTTAACTCCATGGGTCACTTGAGTTTAATTACCATGCAAAATCATTTCTGCATGATTATGTGAATATTCATTACAAATCATATGAACGTTGAAGTTATTTATGATTAATCATTGAGGTAAAAATATAAGGACATAGGCAATAGCATTTGACGAGGTAACAATATTTCTGCTTCTTTATGAAGGGCTGTGGGGGATTCATATGTATATATGAAAGATGAAAGGATAAGGAAAAAACATGTTTTAAGCTAAAATAAAATTTAAAGACCACATGAAATTATGGTATTGAAAATGGAAAATACAGAATGCAGCAGTTATTTGGGTGATGTTTGACCTAACTGCTTTAGACACCAGCAAATATACAGTTATGTAACTCATTATATTATTCCAAGTTTTGTTTTAGAGAAAAGAAAACAAGAATATCAAATCAAAAATGGTTTCTCATGGCCCTTGTATCCTGGCCAAAATATTGTCATGGAGCAGAGTTTCTTTTAAAATGCATTCAATTTAGACACTAAGGTACTCATAAAGTAGGAGGTGACAGATGGCTTCCGTGACCAGGTCGCTTTTCTGAACTGAAAGAAGCTCCCCTCCTTGACACATCTGCAGGTCTAACCTGGAGGAGCTGGGCCCAAGCTGTGTGCGGAGGAAGTCTGAGAACAGTGAAAGCCAAGTAGCCCCTCTTTTTGCACCAGGCCTTTGCTACCTTTGCTTGGTTGTATAACCCTGGCTTTCCTCACCTCCTTTAGAAGCCATAGTATAGTAGCACCAAGAAATTTAAAGTATAGTCTTGGACTAGATCCCAATTTTGCTCTTCTTCCCATTACAGCTAGGTCACTGGGAAGAAAGCGTAGTATCATTCTCTGCCGCCAAGGGTGTTATGTGGCTTCACTTTTCCATATCTGTCAATCATAATAATAAGCCATTGTCAAGAAGACCTTTATAGTAAAATTTAGGGTAGCACCTTTGTACAGAGAAGAAAACTCAGGCCCAGAGAGTTTGAGTGACTTGACCAGTGTCACACACCAGGACAGGGAAAAAAATTAGATCCAGTTTTTTTGACTCGTAGTCAGATTTTCTTTTCACTAAATTCACTACATTTTATCTCTAGAGAGCAGTATCGGAGATCTAAGCAGGTGATACATCTCCATGATGGGAACTCAGTTTCTGTAACATTGTCAAACCCTGATTGTTGTTCAAAATTAGTGTTTAAATAGGCAAATCCTAGTGTCATGATCTTGTTTCTGATGCATTTCCACCATGGGTAACCCATCATCTCTCTGAAAGCATGTTTCTCTGCCCCACAATGGAGTAACTCCTTATTGTTTTACAAACTCTCACCCATCTGGGATATGAAAAACCCTTTCTCCTTGGAAATAAGAGCTCTTTGCCTTTGCCCATTTTCCTGTTGGATTATCTGTCTCTCTCTTCCTGATGTTCAGGATAGCTGGACCCATTTTGACTATAATCCTTTGTTGGAAATGTTACCAATTTCATCAATTATGTTGTTTTTTTAATCTTTTGAAAATCAAAGGTTCTTAAAATTTGAAATAGGTACATTTATTGATTTTTTTTTCTTAATGATTTGTATTTACATCTCTCTCTCTCTCTCTTTTTTTTTTCTTTGTACCAAGAACTGAACCTGGGGTGCTTCACCACTGAACCACATCCCCGGCTCTTTTTAATCTTTTATTTTGAGACAAGGTTTCACTAAGTTGTTAAGGGCCTCACTGCTGTTAGGATCCTCTTGCCTCAGCCTCCTGAGTCACTGGTATTACAGGCATGTGCCACCATCCTGGCTACTTTACATCTCTTAGTTAAAAATATTTACTTTTCTTTCTTTTATAGCTTTATTTTATTCATTTATTTTTATGTGGTGCTGAGGGTTGAACCCAGGGCCACACACGTGCTAGGCAAGTGCTCTACCACTGAGCTACAACCCCAGCCCAAATAATTACTTTTCTTAAGGTCATAGATATTCTCTATTTTTAAATAAAAGCCTTAATATTTTGTCACATTTAAGTATAAAATCCCGTTTCAGTGAATTTAAGGGTAAGGTAAAAGGTAGAGAGCTAATCTTTTTATATTTTATTTTTTTCATGCCAGGGATTGAATCCACAGGCCCTTAAGCACTGAGCCACATCCCCAGGGAGACAGGATCTCACAAACTTGCTTAGGACCTTGCCATTGCTGAGACTGGCTTTGAACTTGCCATCCTCTTGCCTCATCCTCCCAAGCCACTGGGATTATAGGTGTGCACCACCGGGCCCAGTGGGATGTAATTTCTTCTCTTTCCTATATGAATAGTTAATTCAACCACATTTTTTGGGGGAAAAATATTACAGAAAAATATTTTTTTGTTTGGGTTTGTTATGATTACTTTTTATTTTGTTATTTTGTTTTTGAGAATAAAGACAATTACATTTCTTTAGAGCTAATTAGGACAGTAATCTTGAAAAACAGATTCAAGTAGTCTTGAAAATATATTCCTATACTACCTTTCGGAGTGCCCCTGAGGACTATTTCTCTTTGGCATGTTGGGAGAAGGCCATTCATTGGGTTTTTCATTCTTTCAGGTGTTTGACAAGGAAGAGCTTCTGGAGTGTATTCAGCAGCTTGTGCAGTTGGATCAAGAATGGGTGCCCTACTCCACCTCTGCCAGTCTCTACATTCGTCCCACGTTTATTGGAACTGAGGTACAGGTTGACTTCCTGTTTGGGAGTATTTTGGTGGGCAAGTTAGCATCGATTGTCCTTGCTTGAAATCTTCAGTCCTTAGCTAGAAAAAGCACCTACAATTGCTCCTTTCTCCTGATGGTCAAGACGAGATAGCAGACATTTTCTGTGAAAGGTCAGTAAACAGTTCAGGCGCTGGGAGCCATGTGGCTTCTGTCACAATTACTCCATTCTCATTGAAGTACTAAAACAGCCATAGACAAGACACAAATCAGCCAGTGAATGAGAAAAGAGCAATGCTGTTTGCCCTCCCCCATCAAGACCAATCATCATTTCCCAAGTGCACGAGTGTGATGCCTGCCATCATGGCGGCATTGCTCTAAGGTGGAGTAGCAGTGCTGGTTCAGAAATTTGGAGAGGGAGAGCTCCTAATGTTTATTTTTATTTTCCTGAAGTCTTTGGATTTCTTGGTAAGGACTCAGAATAGAAGGTCCTCTTCCAAATAGAAAATGCTGAAAATAGAGTTCACAAGGAGCTGGAATGGCAGGATTGAACAATGTGGCCTTAAGATCACTTGATAGGTCACAGTCTTCCATGTTACATGGGGTTTATGGTGGCTTCTGTCATCTCACTGTCTTTACAAAATGATTGTAGGCACACTTCTGTCAGTTATGTGATTTCGCCCTAAAAGGGCGAAAAGACTAAAAAGTCTTTTCTGCTGCTGGTCTTCATGTTTTTCTTTCATGTTGTTTTCATGTTTAGATTAGCTGATTAACTAGGCCTTATGTCCCAAAGGCATTTGGATTTCTTCAAATGAGCATGTGTGTGTGTGTGTGTGTGTGTGTGTGTGTGTAATTCATTAGGAGATATAGGGACTAGGGGTGTAGCTCAGTGGTAGAGTGCTTGCCTGGCATGTGCAAGGCCCTGGGTTCCATCCCCAGCACCATCAAAAAAGAGGCACCCATAGAGAGGGGAGAGGAGAGCCTCCTAGTTGATCAGATGTGTCCAATTGTATTCTCTGGTGTGACAGTCACTTTTTTGATAGAATACTCAGTATTCCACAATAGACACGTAAGGGTCCCAGCCAAGACATAAATAATCAAAATCTGTGGAGACTCTGTAATTTGACACACTCTGCAATTCTTCTTAACTACTTTCAAGAGTGTCACTATCTCAGATCTTGTTAAGGCATCACATGCATATGTATCTGGTGGTCTTAAAGCTTTATTTACTCTAAAGATTGCAAGCTGGCAGCAAGGTGGAAATATTTATAAGTTGAGAGCTGACCTTCATTGAGAGGAGGGTGTTAAGTTCACACTCATGGGCCACGATGTGCCAATCCTGTATTACTTATCACTTCTCATGCTCAGTAAGATTCAGTAGCTACCATGTACATGCTCTGTTGGTAACTTATAAATTTCATTGTATTTGCAAAGGGTGCTTCACATCTTCACATTCTTTATAATTAACTTTTAATTGTCTTCACAGGTATGTACCTTTTATACCAATGTTTTTGTGAAATTTTTAACGTGAAAAATAATTAAATCCATTACTAAATCTTTTTATATTTAAGATTATATTAAGCAGAAGAGTATAATATTGGAAAACATGTTTAACTTATTATTAACATACAACTTGTGAGTAGGAATTAGTAAAAAATATGAGGCCACCAGTGGGTGATAATTTTTTGGGGAAATTTGTTAAATTCCCATTCAAACACAATGTTAAACCTTAATGCACAAGTTAAAACACAAAATTAGCAACATGAATTATATAGTATCTGTGTAGCATGCAAATATATAAATACATATAGTTTATTGGACATATTATACATGAAAATTTTATGAAAAGTTTGGAGAATAAAATCATTTGCATTGCCAAAGATTTCTCATATTAACAAGAACTTCAGGGACTGGGGATATGGCTCAGAAGCAGAGCACTTGCTTGTCACAGCAAGACCCTGGGTTCAATCCCCAGTAAGACATACACACATGCAAAAAAAAAAAGAAAAAGAAAAAAAACTTCAGTATCATTTTAATTAAAATCTTCTGAAGTGTTTATTTGTAGGTTATTAAAAACTTGTCTTTTGTATAGCTCTACAAGGAAATGTTTTGTAATTTGATTTCATTATTAAGATCTAGTACTTGGCAGCCATAGTTTAGGTAATATTATTTAGTACTATTTGCTTGCATGCTAACAATTGAACCTTTTGTAGGACCCACATAATGAACATATTTCTGAGGCATTTGAGCATCAGAGCAAGTGCTGTGACAATACCTGTGTAGACTGAGAAGATTTCAATAAGAAAAACTTGTAAATACCAGTTCTACACACTCTGAAAGTTCTTGTTTTCCCTGCTTTCTGGGTCATTGAATGGGACAATTGTTGTTCCAAAAGTAACTGGCAGCATGACGGACCTGCAGTGAGTGTACCTTATAATATTAAAGCAAGGTTTTTATTATAAAACAAATAAAATTGTTCAATTTAAAAAAAAAAACAAACTTAAGTGAGAAATTAAAAGTTAGAGTGCTTCAGACTCTTGCTGATTATGTACCAATTTTAAAGTAAGGTAAAATCTGAAATCATAACATTCATTTATTTATGTATTTGTAGTGCTGTGGACCGAGGGCAACACCTCTGTCACTGAGCTATGCCCAGAGACTCTACAATAAAAATATTTAAATGAGGAATATGTACATGAATGATTTTAGTTTATCAGACAAGAAGTTAAAATTATGACTTTCAGGTTTATTTTAGTACTAGAAGCCTCAGAACCCTATATCCAAAGAAGCAAGTTTTGCTGTTTTAAGCCACCCATTTTCTCTAATGCAGGCTCAGCAGTGTGAATGCACACACATGGGTACACATATAGGCTTCATAGGATTGTGGTCTCAATAGTGAAAATACTTCCAGCCACAGACTCTAAAATCCTTTTTCATTTTCCACTTTTTTCATTGTATCTCTGTCCTGTTTCATGGTACTCTACATTTGAAAGGTGGTGGAATAAGAGAACAGAGAGAGAAAATCACTGAATTATATAATTTATACCTAAATTATATCAGGGCTGAGAAGTAGCCAATAAGAAGGGTAGAGTCAGGTCTAGGGACAGCCCCACAGTAGTTAGTACCCAGCACCTTTAATCAGGCTGCAGGCTGGTTACTACAGATCTGTCTGCAAGCTACCAGCAGACAGGTGTTCTCAAAGACAGGCTGATCTTGGCTGATGTGAAAGTTGTTTGAGTCTTCATATTCATTTAACTTCATAGTCCTGAATTTGGATTGTCTCTAAATAAATTTCTGGTTGAGCTCAGCTACAGATCAGTTTGCGTTTGGATGCACAGACTACAGAATACAATTTGAATAATGCAGAACAACCTTTTAATCATCTCACATGAGCTGTTTCTCTGTTCAGCATTTCCTGGGAAATCTTTCAGTATGAAATTGCCATTAAAGTTCACATTTTAAAATCCCCCTGCCATTTTTCAAGTGGCTGAAGAAAGGCTAGAGATCAAATTCATCAGTCCCAAACAGGTCACTCTATTTGTGGTTCACTCCACAGGGAGCATAAGGACATACACATTTCACAGATGCATTTTTTTTTTAAATCACCTTGTAAAATCTGTATATTGTCCATTCAGTTTTACCTATAGTGATATCAATTCTAATTAAAAGAATTCCCTTTGTTCACTGCCTCTTTTTTTTTTAATGTTTTTACATCATATTTTTTCCCTTCACAATTTCTTTCTAGTTAGCACAGCAGTTTTTTATCATCATCAACTTGTGTATTTTCTGCACTTTTACACATCCAGCTCCTGTGAGAAATAATGTATATTTAGAATTAACCTGCTAGCTCAGTTTGAATGATCCCAATTTTGTTGGCAACACCCAAAGCATCATAGTCAAGAGCCAGTCATAGGCCTTCTCCTCTCCATCAGGTCTGATCAGCATATTGACTGTGGCCACATCAGTGTCATAGAGCATCCTCACAGCCTGTCTGATCTGATGCTCTTCTGTCTTCTTCATGGTCGACTCAGTGGTCAGAGGGAACCGGATGATGGCATAGTGGTCAAGCTTGTTTCTCCTGCAGTGTCTTGCGCCGCTGGAGGGGGATGACAGAAGAAGTGGATCTTCTTTTTGTGGCTGTGGACTTCTTTCAGCTCTGCCTCCTTGGCCTTTGAAGTCTTTGCTTTGGCTTCAGCTTGGGAAGGCCGGGAGCTTCCTTTTTTTGCTTTTAGTGCGTGTCCCTGTTTTAGTTCCTTTCTGTGTAATTAGTTTTTGGTACCAAATCATCCTGTAACTTTTTGAAGATCCACTAGAAGGATGAATTGTATGAACTGCTATGAGCAAGGCTGGCTGTGACAACTTTGCTCCACTGCTTAGCCAACAGCAGTACCAAAATGCTGAGTCCACATCTCAGACATGTTAAGAGTGAAAATAGATGGACATCTTAGAATCTGAAATATGATAGCATAGTTTATTTAGCTGATTTTCTGTGGATCTACTATTATGTTCATGTAACAAATAGAAGTGTTAGTGCTAAAATGAGTAAAGCAGGAAAATTAAATTTAGAAAGCCTACACTTAAAGTCTATATTTATATTATAGATATACCCTAGTGTGTATAAAGAGATTCAGTGATATTTTTTGCAGCTCACATGATTTGCTGATATATTGGATGTGAACGTGAGAGAAGAGAGGTCAAGTTTTTCTTATGGACCTTACCAACAGGATTCTAACCGTTTATTGGGACAGGAAAGAAGGATGATTTTTGTTCATTGGAGTGATGATGGTTTGAATTTAGGGTGCAGAAACCTAAGCCAGTGATTTCATATAGGTACTTGGTGTGCAAGTCCATTATTCCTGGGAGAATTTGGAATTTGAATGATATACTCTAGTCTTTAGAATAAAAAGTATTTTTAAGACAGGACCCTGGTGAAGTCTTTATGGGAATAACTGGAGAAAGAGATGCAGACAAGGGAAGGATTAGGCTGTGGGCAGGTGTTTAGGACAAAAGGAGGAGCAG